ACACTGAGGGTTGCGATCCGTTGCCGGTCACGAAAAAAAAAAAAAAAGTGTATTTGCTATTAGTATAGTTTTTAAAAAGCAATACAAGACAGCATAAATTCATGTCTACAGTAAAATAAATGGATAATAACATTTATTCTTTATGTAGTAAAAACGAATCATCAGCCACACAACACTATAGTCCAATAACTCATATATTGCTATTTTTAATTAATTAAGGAGTGGCTGCCTTTGAGAAGCCATCAAGAGAACACGGTGTACTTCATGGACTTCACTGATTTTTGAAACAAACCTAGCACAGCCATAAAAGTCAAACAAAAGTCATAACCCTTTGTTTAATTTTCATGGTAGTAAAATATTTAAATTGGAACTACTTTATTCCTTTTTTTAATTAGAGAGTCATAGTAAATGAATGCAGGTTTGCTGTATTTTATGATACCTGTAGTAAAATTACATTTAAGCCCACATAACTACAACTTCTCTAGCTTAACTTTTCCTCAGCAACAAGCTGAACTTTTTGGGTTTTGGTACTAGCTAAAGTCTGGTAAGTATATCAGTTTTCAAGAGAGTCAAGTACATCACAGGATTATTGTAAATCTTAAGTATCATAACGTATATGAAAGACTTTGTAAAGAAAAAATATCATGCAAATGTACGTTAGTATACTAGTTGCCTTAACAACTAAATTTTAAATATTTCATAAGCCATACAGATTGAAGAATGGATAGGAGAAGTTAATTAGGAACCAAGAACCAGAATCTGAAACTGAAATCAACCTCACAAATTTCTTAAATACCTCCAGGCTAAAAAAACTTTCTTACCAATTCATAAAATTTTCACAAACTTAAGGATAACCACGTTGTTCCCCTGCTCACTCCCCGTATTTCTTCTGTGAGGAAGCATATTACTATGTCTAAATAAAAGTACTGATTTTTATGCCCCAACACAAACTCCAAAGAAAACTATGAAAATAACCCAAGCATTTAGTTTTTTTCCTGTTCTAATTTTATTTCTATTGACATACAGCCACATGAAAATTTAAATAGCTGGCTTTAAAACAGTGTACCTCTTTACTCACTATCCATTTTACCTTTTTCTACCCCTGAACACATTTATGTGCTGGGGATAGTAGGCCCTAAAGGAAACACTTAGAAAAACTGCCTCCCTACACCCCCACCACTAAGAAAAGAAATGTGCTAGCCACTGATTTTTTTTCTTACTCTCCACAGAGAACTTCTTTCACAAGGGTAGGATATTAAAGATGTTCGCTTTTAGTAGGGACTCTGCAATACTGTCTGTCTTCATTATATGTTTAAAATGTTAAAGTCTATTGACTATAAGCAAGTAAGAGTAAAAGTTCTACCTTTCTGTTAACTACCTGTTTTTAATTTTCTCTTTTGAGACAAGCTAAAACTGAATGTCATGACTTTTAGAAAGTAAGCAACTGGGATTGTGTCATATAATTCTTAGCATCCAGTAATAAGTATTTAATAAATATGACAAATAAAAAAAAAGAGACATTCCTAAATAACCAATGGGTCAAAGAACATTGATTACAGGGAAATTGTGATTTGAGATGAATGAAAACACAACATACCAAAATTTATGAGATTCGACTAAAGAATTTCTTAGAGAGCTGTACACACCTATATTTAAAAGGAAGAAAGATTTTAAATCAATAACCTGACCTTCCACCTTAGGATATTAGAAAAGGAAGAGCAAATTAAACCCAAAGCAAGCAGACAAAAGGTAATAATAAATATTAGAGCACAGATAAAATAGAGAACAGAAAAACAGAGAAAATCAATGAAATCAAAAGTTGAT